GCTCGGTGGTGCCACGGCATCCGATGGGCGGAGGAGACCCTTCTGGCCCGCTAGTCAGCGGCGAAGTGAAGTGCCGTGGTGTACCAAGGGCCAGTGATGAGGCCGAAGCTGGCGACTGTCACCATCTCTCTCTGTGACTCCGGCGACGATGACTCCCTTCGGGGAGCACGGCCGTTGCTTGGCGTTGATCTGCCGATAGGAGGACAACCCACACGTGAGAACGTAAGAAATGGAAGCAAGAAGAAATTCCGACGGAAGAAGAATGGCAGATAAAATGAATGGACTGTGCAGAATTGGACAAAATGACAGGAAGGATTCGAAACCTGCGGGAACAGAAGATTGGAACTATCTGAAGAGCAATTGTCATCAACAAATTACACTAGTAGGACTACAAGAAGTTTTGTAGGGAGAAATATATGAAACGTTACAAAGTAGATAAAGAACAGAGATATTAGTTATGAGATTCAAATGCAAAAGGGAAAGTAAGAAATGTATACTAAGAGATTAGACTGGAAATTTTTCAGATGAGATTGATGGAAGTCAAAAAAAATTGTACAGTATAAGATGTAAAAGTATGTTTAATTACTGTTGAAAATGATATGTTAAAAAAATAATAAAATTAGAGAGAGAGAAAAAGAATGTAAGGAGAGCTTGGCTGCTGGATCTGACCAAAGCGGGGCCCATCTAATCCACTGTCCTGTTTTCACAGTGGCCAGGCAGGTGCACACTAAGGGACGAGGGTGGCGCTGTGGGTTAAACCACAGAGCGTAGGACTTGCCAATCAGAAGGTCGGCGGTTCGAAACCCCGTGACGGGGTGAGCTCCCGTTGCTCGGTCCCTGCTCCTGCCAACTTAGCAGTTCGAAAGCACAAAAAGTGCAAGTAGATAAATAGGTACCACTCCAGCGGGAAGGTAAACGATGTTTTCGTGCGCTGCTCTGGTTCGCCAGAAGCGGCTCAGTCCTGCTGGCCACATGACCCGGAAGCTGTACGCCGGCTCCCTCGGCCAATAAAGCGAGATGAGCGCCGCAACCCCAGAGTCGGCCATGACTGGACCTAATGGTCAGGGGTCCCTTTACCTTTACCTTTAACCTGCTCCCTGTAACCGGCTTCAGTTGGCAGTCTGTCCGCAGCATTCTGGACCAGGTGAAACAGCGTTTTCCAAAGGCAGAGCCATGTAGATCGCACCATGGTTGTCCTGCCTTGAATAGCAACTGCCATTTCTTGTTGAGGTGTTCCTTTCCTGGAGGGAGTGGTGGGTGGACAGGGGTCTGCTAGCAGCTACCGTTTCTTTGGCTGACGAATGGAGGGGCTGGTTGGGTCCTACCCTGGTGCAATGTTCTTCCTGAGACTCAAGGAGTTCCACCTAGCCAAACGCAAAAGTCCCATGCAAAAAGCCACGTTGGGGCAGGCTGCAATTGCGTGTTTGCAGGATCGTGTCCTGCCATGGCCTCCCGACAGTGAACGGAGCAGTGAATCTTTCATGCTCATTTAAATCATTTATGGCTTAGTCTGCATAAATCACGAGCGCTGCATAAATCATGGTGGGGAAAGGGGCGAGGGTTGCTGGGTTAGGGGGCGCACGAGGGTGTGACGCCATGAGGAAGATGCATTCATGTGCTTCCTCCCCTGGCTTTGGCCAACTTTGTCTCAACTTACGTGAACTCGATGGTCTGGTTGCCCCCGCTGTTCCAAAGTGGAAGGAGATCCCCAATGGGATCACTTGGGCCACATCTGCACCATACATTGACAGCGCATGGCTTCCCCCAAAAGGATTCTGGGACCTGCATAGGAATCAGAGAATCATAGAGTTAGAATAAAATAATGAAAATGGTTTGTTGAATATTTACAGAAAAATTGTAAACAGATACAGTGATACCTCGGGTTAAGTACTTACGGTAATTCGTTCTGGAGGTCCGTTCTTAACCTGAAACTGTTCTTAACCTGAAGCACCACTATAGCTAATGGGGCCTCCCGCTGCTGCCGCGCCACTGGAGCACAATTTCTGTTCTCATCCTGAAGCAAAGTTCTTAACCCGAGGTACTATTTCTGGGTTAGCGGAGTGTGTAACTTGAAGAGTATGTAACCCAAGGTACCACTGTAAAAACATTGGCAGGATTATTGTGACAACCTGCAGTTTTATAAGAGTGTAGATTCAAAGTAGATGAATAAAAGTGAATTTGGATATGCAGAAGATATTAAAAATAAATTTAAGGAACCGCAGAAAGAGGGGGAAGGAAGTCAAGTTTTGAAATGTTAACATGGTTGTAAAATTAGTGAAATGTATAAATCTGAAAAGCATAAATAATAATAATTTTTAAAAAGAACATATAGGAAGCCCTGCTGGGTCAGGGCTATGGCACACCCATTCCAGAATCCTGTTCTCACTGTGGCCAGATGCCAAGTGCGAAAGCCCTCTCCTTTTCTCCTTTGGAACTCCCTGCTTATTGATATAGGAAGCTGCCTTTCCAGTTCCGTTCCAAAGGCCTGTTAAAAGCTCTTTTGTTTCGGCAAGCCTGCCTGCACCACGTCGTATTATCTTGCCTACTTGTCTATAGCCGATTTTGATAAATATTTGACATGGTTTGCATGCAAGCCTCTTAAAGGTAAAGGTACCGCTGCCCGTATGGGCCAGTCTTGCCAGACTCTAGGGTTGTGCGCTCATCTCACTCTATAGGCCGGGAGCCAGCGCTGTCCGCAGACACTTCCGGGTCACATGGCCAGCATGACAAGCTGCATCTGGCGAGCCAGCGCAGCACACGGAACGCCATTTACCTTCCCGCTAGAAAGCGGTCCCTATTTATCTACTTGCACCCGAAGGTGCTTTCGAACTGGTAGGTTGGCAGGCGCTGGGACCGAACGACGGGAGCGCACCCCGCCGCGGGGATTCGAACCGCCGACCATGCGTTCGGCAAGTCCTAGGCGCTGAGGTTTTACCCACAGTGCCACCCGCGTCCCCTGCAAGCCTCTTAGAGAAACACTATTCTCATTTTTTGATCTAGTGCTCTATGCATCTCGTTCAGTAAACGCTGCTCCTTCCCCGCTGCCCAAACATTTCAGCTGCAAGCCCTTAGGAAGAACTGTGGCTCAGTATTTCAGAACCTGCACAGAGCGTATTTTTTTTGGGGGGGGGAGAGGCAGGACCAGGGCGTGGCCTGTCAATCATGTGACATGTCCAGGGTGGAGCAAAGATTAAGGCCTTCCAGATGTTGCTGAATTAAAGCTCCTGGCGCGCTGGGATGCTGGAGCGCAGAAACATCTGGAGGGCCAGCGGTACCCCACCCCTAGAGAAAAATTCCAAAGCACGGTGATGTCTTTTCACTTTCTCGTGATCTCCCTGGAAGCAAAATGCTAAACGGCCCGGGTTGATTCCCCTCCCCACCCGCTTTTCTGACTGGTTCTCCGTTCTCCCTTTCCATCCCCTCAGCGCCACACGTAGGCAAATCTTAAATAGCTGCTCGCACACACACACACCAGCTAAATTCCCACTGCTGTCTCCAAAATAGAGGGAAGGCAGTGCCCCCCCCCCAAGACGGAGAAGAGCCTGTTGCTACGGCAACCACAAATGTCAGGTTCCATGTGGCGCACGTCGGTCGTTGCCATGGCAATGAACATTCTTTTTTCTTCTTCCTTAAAATAATAATAATAATAATAAAAATCCAAGCAGAGTCACAGGGCTACCGAGCTGGAGAGGGCGGGGTTGGGGGGACAGACGGACACCAGTGTTGGTGGAGATGGGCTTGGTCTGGTCCAGGATGGAGGAGGCACTGAGGGGCAGCAGAAAGGCCTTGCAGTGACAAAAACAATGGTTGTTTTGCTTTCTGGGGGGGTGCCAGAGATGTCCTCCCTGAAACGAGGTGCTTACGCAACCCATCCAAACTCCCAAGTCTGGCCTTTGGTCCCAACGGAATTCCAGTCCTTGGAAGCAGGTGACGGGGGAAAGCGGATTAAATTTTGACCCAGGCGTGCGCACGCATGCACGGCGAACCAAGGCCCCCGGTGCGCAGCTCCCTGTCCTGCCCTTCGTGCTCGCCTGCAGGGTTAGTTATCCTGCCGTAACTGCCACCAGATGCGATGTGGGAATAAACAGCTGCAAAGTGGTGTGGTTTTGCTTCGGAGCAAGGCGCACAAATGCGAGGTCCTGGGGCTCTCGGCAGCTACGAGTCATGGAGGCTATGCTCTGTCTCTGCAGTCCGATGCAGCGATGCTTCTGAATACCAGGGAATTGCAGGAGGCAAGAGTGGCTCTTGTGCACTGGTCCTGCTTGGGGACGCGGGTGGCACTGTGGGTTAAACCACAGAGCCTAGGACTTGCCGATCAGAAGGTCGGCGGTTCGAATCCCCGCGATGGGGTGAGCTCCCGTCGCTCGGTCCCTGCTCCTGCCCACCTAGCAGTTCCAAAGCACGTCAAAGTTCAAGTAGATAAATAGGTACCACTCCGACGAGAAGGTAAACGCCATTTATGTGCACTCTGGTTTCCGTCATGGTGTCCCGTTGCAACAGAAGCACTTTAGTCCTGCTGGCCACATGACCCGGAAAGTTGTCTGCAGACGAATGCCGGCTCCCTTGGCCTGAAAGCGAGATGAGCGCCACAACCCCATAGTCGCCTTGGACTGGACTTAACCATCCAGGGGTCCTTTACCTTTACCTTTTTGTCGTTCAAGTAACATCTGGAGGGCCAAAGGTTCCCCTGAAGGTGTAGCTGGCTCAGGACCTCCATGGGAGCATTCTACGCTGCAACCATTTGGCCAGCCATAGGCAAACTCGGCCCTCCAGATGTTTTGGGACTACAACTCCCATCATCCCTAGCTAACAGGACCAGTGGTCAGGGATTATGGGAGTTGTAGTCCCAAAACATCTGGTGGGCCGAGTTTGCCTATGCCTGGATTTGGCTGTATTTATGTTCTTGTTGCTATCACTCTCTTACCCCCTCCCTTCATAGCACAACAGAGTGCTCAGAGTTTGGCTTTGCTAACATTTGGCAACTCTCTCTCTCTCTCCAGATGGCGCGGCCAATCCAGGTAAAGCCGGCGGACAGCGAGAGCCGTGGAGGTAGTTGTCATCTCTCCTTGTTTGTTTTTGTCCCCCCCCCAACCCCTTGTCCTACCACCCTACTCAGGGAGGCCTTGTACATATCTCAGTTGCTGTGCATAAAATCAAATATTAGCTTCTGGTTCCTACAGTGTTGTCCTCCCCTTAAAATCTCAAAAGCCACCCACCTCTGTAATCAGGAATGTTGGTGGCGGGGGGGAGACGTATTAGGAAAACATATAAATGCAAGGGTGTTGTTTTTTTGCAATACGAAGGCGTATCAATAGATAGAATCACAGCATCACGGAATTGTAAAGTTGCAAAGGAACTTTGCATCTGGCCCCCATAACTCTTACCCAGGCCACAGCCCTCACGAGCCTTGGTTTTGCCTAATTGGAAAGTGGCCTTGAACTCTGAATCCTGCCTCTTGCTCGTCTGTGTGGAGGCTGGAGATCAGTGCGTGTCTGTCTGTGTGTAGAAGCTAGCCTACTATAGAAGGGTGAGATATGCTTTTGGAAGGCTGTCCAGAAACCTTTTGCTTTCTGATATCACCGTTCCCTCTTTCTCTACCTGCTGCTTGTAATCTTATAAAACCTCCCAGCACGTTCTGCTTTGCACCAACCGTATTTTTCGCTCTATAAGACGCACCAAACCACAAGACACACCTAGTTTTTGGAGGAGGAAAACAAAACAAAACAAAAAAATTCTGAATCTCAGAAGCCAGAACAGCAAGAGGGATCGCTGTGCAGTGAAAGCAGCAATCCCTCTTGCTGTTCTGGCTTCTGGGATAGCCGCGCAGCCTGCATTCGCTCCATAAGACGCACACACATTTCCCCTTACTTTTTAGAAGGGAAAAAGTGAGTCTTATAGAGCAAAAAATACGATAATCTGCACAGATTCTTCATTCAACGCACTTTTTTTTTCAGAAGGGGGAGGGAGAAAAAGAACAATGGTTTACTTTATTGTTGTTACGTCAAGGTTAGCAATGTAAAATCTCTTACCCCGATGGTGCAAAATGCTGGGTCTGTTGCAATGCATTTACTCACATAGGTTTTGTTTTGGTTTTTTGGTTAGGGGTCTTTGCTAATAAAATAAATGTATTTCTTCATCGCACAAACTTCAGCACAATCCTGTGATATGCATACCGCCTGGGATGATCATGACTATATGTTTGATCTATATGCAAAACGGGACACGGGTGGCGCTGTGGGTTAAACCACAGAGCCTAGGGCTTGCCGATCAGAAGGTCGGTGGTTTGAATCCCCGCGACGGGGTGAGCTCCCATTGCTCTATCCCTGCTCCTGCCAACCTAGCAGTTCGAAAGCACGTCAAAGTGCAAGTAGATAAATAGGTACCGCTCCAGCAGGAAGGTAAACGGTGTTTCTGTGCGCTGCTCTGGTTCGCCAGAAGCGGCTTAGTCATGCTGGCCACATGACCCAGAAGCTGTATGTCGGCTCCCTTGGCCAATAAAGCGAGATGAGCGCCCCAACCCCAGAGTTGGCCACGACTGGACCTAATGGTCAGGGGTCCCTTTACCTTTACCTATATGCAAAACAAAAAACCCTTGCATGTAGAAGGTTAGCATGTCATGGCCCAGAGTCCTAGCTTAGCCCTTCCCCTGAAGAGCTAGTTGTCTAAGTGTAGGGCAGGGTCTGATTTATTTATTTTTTAAGAGAGAGGGAGTGGGAGCATTTAAACCTCTGATCCTTGACTTCATTCTGAATGCCTCCCTTAAATCACAGCCCCACCCGAGCTCCAAGGATGGAGAGTTACAGAATTTCAGTAGATAATAAGATTTTGTTCCACTCTCCCAGCCGAATAGCACCCTCCAATTTTGTTTCCCATAGGTTCTGACCATCCCCCTCTACAGTTACGAGGGGGGGGGGCACAGAGAAAGTGAACTCTCTCCTCTTTCTCGCTCTCTCATTGTTGGAGTAGCGTTTCTATGGAAACCCATCATTTCCCAGAGGCTGCTATAACTCAGGGCCAGATGGGCTTTTCCGATGTAAGAGGAAGGGGGCGGGGGAGGGAGATGTGGGGAGTAACTCAGGATAAGACGATAAAGAGCAGGGAGAAATGGCTGTGTTTGTTGTTAAATAAATGAGGTCACACAGATAACCGGCCGCAAAACGCACCTTGGCTTATCTTCTTATGCTCGTAGCTGCAAGTTGTAGCCAAGCTCAAGTTTGGAGCGGTGTGTCTGCTCACATCTGATCAGAGCTACTCGTTTGACTCTCCTCCCCTACGTAAGAACATCCCTGCTTCTGGATCAGGCCCAACGGAGCCCATCTAGTTCTGCACCCTTCTCTCACAGTGGCCAACCAGGTGGCTGGCATCCGTCTTGTCTCGAGAGACAATGGAGTGTGCTTCCAGGGGTCAAACCGCTGCATTTGCAGCAGCAAAATGACCTCTGCTTCAGATTCCCTGGTCCTGAATGGGGTAACTGTGCCCCTGAAGGACCAGGTGTGCAGCCTGGGAGTCATTTTGGACTCACAGCTGTCCATGGAGGCGCAGGTCAGTTCTGTGTCCAGGGCGGCTGTCTACCAGCTCCATCTGGTACGCAGGATGAGACCCTACCTGCCCGCGGACTGTCTCGCCGGAGTGGTGCATACTCTAGTTATCTCCCGCTTGGACTACTGCAATGCGCTCTACGTGGGGCCACCTTTGAAGGTGACCTGGAAACTGCAATTAATCCAGAATGCGGCAGCTAGACTGGTGACTGGGAGTGGCCACTGGGACCACATAACACCGGTTCTGAGAGATCTGCATTGGCTCCCAGTACGTTTCCGAGCACAATTCAAAGTGTTGGTGCTGACCTTTAAAGCCCTAAATGGCCTTGGCCCAGTATACCTGAAGGAGCGTCTCCACCCCCATCATTCTGCCCAAACACATAAGAGGATCCTGCTATTATGGGATGGGCACCATGAAAAAGCCCTCACACGGAGCATTCCCTTCCCAGTCTTAAATTCAGTTCTCCACATTGCTGCAACAATTTGCAATTGTGTGTGTGTGTGTGTGTGTGTAAAAAATCCTCAGCATTTTAGAGCATATTTCTCCACCCAGAAGTTGAGCAAGCAGTTTCCCTGAACACAATGCCGTGTCTTGCATGTTATCTTCAGTAATATATTCATTCTTATGCACCTCGATAAAATGCTTTTTGGTAAACATTGCTTGGCTGGGGGAAACTGCGTCGCAAAAATTCAGATAAGCGTGAATTTTGAAGGATCGTAGAACCACAGAATTGTAGAGCGGGAAAGGTGTCCAGTTGCTATCTAGTCCAACCCCTTCCAGTGCGGGAACCACAGCTAAATAATCCCTGGCTGATGCCCACCCAACCTCTGTTGAAAAACTTCCAGTGAAGGAGAGTTCAAGGGAGCTCTTACTATCAATCGACAATGGGGTGTTAAAAAGGGATAGAACTTTCTTTATGTAGGCAACAACAGCAGCAAGAATACTCATCGCAAAGCATTGGAAGACACAGGATTTGCCCACCTTGGAAGAATCGCAGACGCAACTGATAGACTACATGGAACTGGCTGAAATGACTGGCAGAATTCGAGACCTGGGAGAAGAGACGATGGAAGAGGACTGGAAAAGATTTAAGGACTATTTACAAAAACACTACAAATTGTATGAATGTTAGGAGAATGCACGAACGAAAGAAACATGGCAGCAGTAAAATTACTGTAAGACGTATGAGTATAAGCGACGTCGAGGGTAACGTTGAAATTGGAAGTAATATTATGTTCAATATAAGCAGTTTAATTTAAGACCAATATATTTTAAAGCTGAATTTGAATATTTGAGACTTATAAAATAAGAAATGGAAGTAAGGTAACAAATTGCTGCATATAACTATTTGGTTGGGAACGCAGGGAAGGGTGATGTGAGGAAGTTCAAAGTTTATGGAAATACGATTTATGAATATTTTTACTCTATCTGTATTTTCTTTCTATATTTTTACTTCTTTTTATAATCTTATTCTGATTTTCTTTTCTGTTTCTTATGTGTTACTTTGCTGTTTAAAAAATTTCAATAAATATTTTTAAAAAACAAAAAACAAGGGAGCTCTTACTATCAGAAGGTTCTCACTCACAATGGCATCTCCTCTGTTTTCATTTCTGCTGCATTTCAATCTGGATATTCTTGCGGAAAGTGCAAATTTGATAGTTCTGTTTCTGAATTGCATTTCTCATTGTTGTAAACAAAATCTGCCCTTCTTCCCTTATGGGGTACCCAAGAGCCCATATAGAGTCCTTACGTGGGTTCCCTATTGGTAGGAGAAAAGAACAGAGGCCAACCAGAGAATATTGAGAAGCGAAGCAGCTAGTAAGCCTGATCTTTATTGATCTGTTGCAACAGGGTGCTCCCCTCACACGCAGGAAAACGAGGAGGACCCCGAACCAAGGTATGCCTGCCCTTATATAGACATTTTAAATTCCGTGCCCTGGAGCTCAAGACCACCCCTCCATACACCATACATACATCACAGAAGGGGTGTAGCCCAAGACCACCCCCCACAAACATCAGACCTACATCACAGAAAAGGCGGTCTACAACAGAAATTTGAGTGTGTTGTTGTTTTTCCTTTCTGCCAGGTTATCTGATAATGCCTTATCTGGTTGCCTTTCCTGGTAGTTTGCCCGTTCCTTTGAGATGGTGATTACTTAATTCCTGTGATAATGGGTAGGTTCCCTCACCCCCTCCCTCCTTGCAGAGAAACATTTGGTCATCTTAGAAGTCAAAATGGTTTCAGGGCAGTCTTTATGTACGTGCTTGGTTGGTACATTTATGAACATTTATTATATATAGGTAAAGGGGACCCCTGACCATTAGGTCCAGTCGCAGACGACTCTGGGGTTGTGACGCTCATCTTGTTTTATTGGCCAAGGGAGTACAGCCGGCGTACAGCTTCCGGGTCATGTGGCCAGCAGGTCTAAGCTGCTTCTGGCAAACCAAAGCAGCGCACGGAAACGCCGTTTACCTTCCCGCCGGAGCGGTACCTATTTATCTACTTGCACTTT